GAGACTCTATCTCTAAAAAAAAAAAAAAAAAAAAAGAACGAAAAATATGACAGACCAAGATTCTGTCTCAAAAAAATATTAAAACACCCATGCCTTAATCTTAAAGTTAAAAAACAAGTAAACTAGAGAAATATTTACCACAATAATAAAGAACTAATATCGGTAGTACATATAAAACAGGTAAGACGTTAAAACCCATAAGGCAGAAAGAAGGTATAGAGATGAAGAACGGTTAACCAGTTTGCAGAAGAAATTTTTTAAAAGATCAAGAGATAATCGAAAAGATAAACTTCTTTAATTGGCAAAGAAGTAGATATTCGACAAGAAGATTGCCTATCAATTTAGCAAACTTGAATAAGGATGATAAATTCTATTCAATGCTTCGAATGCTGATAGCGCACTCATGCTTTGCTCTGAAGGATTAGCTGGCGTGGTTTTTCTGGAAAGCAATCTCGCATTTTCTGGAAAGCATATCTCAAGAGCCTTAAGAATGTTCATTCTTTTTTTTTTTTTTTTTACCAAGGTCGACTTCTAGGAACATAGCTTTAGAAAAGAACCATTAAAATAAACAAACAAAACTTGTTTAGGACAGTTACACAAAGGTAAATGTTCAACAACAGGAGAAAGGCTCAAAAAAATCATAGAACATCCATGCAATGGAATCAAAGCAGACATTCATGATCTTGTGTCTGAAGAATGGCATTTCATAGGAAATGCTCATAATTAAGGGAAAGGAGAAAAGCAGGACAAAAATGGTATTCAGGAGCTCATATATATTAAAATATATATATGTAAACATATACAAAATACATAGTACAGAATCATGTCTGTATGTTGTGTATGTGTGCGTGGGAGTGTGCATATGTTGGTGAAAGGTTGGAAGGAAATATGCCAAAATGTTAAAATGGCATTCTCTTGATGAAAAGATTATGTGATTTTCATTTTTTTCTTACACTTCTCTAAATTTTTGAAAAATTAAAAATACTAGCATGTATTACACTTAAAATACAGCCCCTAAAGTGATTGGGGGTTATTTTTACCCTAGAGCCAGGTGAAAAAATGAGTAGAAACAAGTTTGCGTTCTGGAGTTAAACAGAGCCAGCTGGGTTTTACCTCTGGCTCACCCTTTTTCTCCCTGTATTTCTATAAACAAACTGCTGTACTTTACAGTAGGTTAATTTCCTCATCAATAAAAAGGGGACAATAATCATCCCACTCTCCTGGTTTTTTTGTAAGAAGTAATACATGAAAAATGTCAAGTACACTGTCTATCACAGAGCAGATATTTTGTCAGTGGTTTCTAATTCCACTGTTATTATTACCACCTATTTGTTTTGAGGTGAGGAACGGGCATGCTTTGCTCACTTAGAAATCTTAAGGCCGGGCTCGGCACCTATAGCTCAACTGGCTAAGGCGCCAGCCACGTACACCTAAGGTGGTGGGTTCAAATTTCCAGGCCGGACCCGCCAAATAACAATGACGGCTGCAACCAAAAAATGGCCCGGCATTGTGGCGGGCGCCTGTGGTCCCAGCTACTTGGGAGGCGGAGGCAGGAGACTCTCTTGAGCCCAGGAGTTGGAGGTTGCTGTGAGCTGTAATGCC